TTTTTTTTTTTTTTTTTTTTGTAATGGTATATACTCTTGAATTGGGAGAATCAATACGCACTTAATGCGTTAAAATCGGTTCAGTACTTTTAGCTTTCCGTTCGTTTGTGTGATTTAGAGAAGAAATATACAGAAACGAAGGAAGAGCAGAGGAAGATTCCCTACCTAGCACCGTAAAAAAATCTCCCCAGTAGTTCTAGGTTGTTATGCACAAATCTTAATTATATTAAAAACCTAATCAGAATAAAATTCCCTAATCAGCACCTGAAAGAATCTCCGTAGTAGTTCTAAGATGTTATGCGTAAATTTTAATAATATTATAAACCCAAGCAGAGGAGCATTCCCTACCCAGCACCTTAAAGAATCTGCCTAGTAGTTCTAGGTTGTTATGCATTAATCTTAATAATGTTAAAAAACAAGAGAAAGATTCCCTAATCAACACCTAAAAGAATCTCCGTAGTAGTTCTAAGTTGGCATGCATAAATTTTAATGAAATTAAAAACCAAGAAGAGGAAGATTCCCTACCCAGCACCTTAAAGAATCTGCCTTGTAGTTCTAGGTTGTTATGCATTAATCTTAATAATGTTAAAAAACCAAGAAGAGGAAGATTCCCTGATCAACACCTTAAAGAACCAGCGTAATAGTTCTAGACTATATACAAATCTTCATGAAACCTAAAGCCCAGACGGAAGTTGAAGGATATTAGATATCAAGTTCTCGTATTAGCCTGAGTTATACTGAACATTTTAAATACACACTATATACGAACCTCAACTCTGACTACCGATCACTGTCTATTTTTGTATTTGGTGTAACATGGATATATTAAATTACAAATTTATTAAACGTATATCGTTAATTATCATGTTTTAATAATTGTTATTGTTTGTATCAAACTTGGCATATCCTTATTATTTTACCTTACCATGTTTTTACCTATTTTTAAGATAGTTTTTTTTAAAGATACAGCTACGTCTTTATACATATTTGGATAAACAATCTATCGTTTGTAAGTTTATCTGGCGATTAGTTAGTTAGTTGCATGCTTCGCCGTCTCCCAAAGTGGATTCTGACAGTGCAGAACCTATCATCTCACTTCCGTTAGATGAAGAACAACCCATGTTTTCCTTTCTTCCGTTGCAACCCACAACTAGTGACATTAAAGAGGTTGGGAAAGGTTTCCAGCCGAGTCTTTTCGTTCCATAACACGTTTTAGCAACGTTCGCGCATGCTCAGACACGAGAGGGTTTCTTCATCATGTTGGCCATTTACATTTCCAGTTTATTATCATTACGTCATTAAAACATCCCTGTTTGCTGTTATTCGCTTCACTGAGTGTATGAATGTGTAGTTTGTATTTTTATGGTAAGGTCTGTGCGTTTAATGCTGTTGAGGGATTGACGAAAATCCCTTCTTTTTTTCAGATTCGGATCTTTGGATAACTGTTTTATCTAAATTATATTTTGTCTTGCTTCCTTATACTTCACTAGACAAAAGAAAAGTAATTATATGAATTAACCAGAGTATTACATGAAGTTACCAACTGAATTACAAACATGGGTTTGTTTTGTTATTTCCCGCATCGATTACGACCTAAGCTCAAAACAAAAGTTTTAGCATTAGTTTGAATAAATAGAATGATTAGATATAATTTTGTGTCTAGACAGATTAATATTCAGTAACCCTGAACGTGATAATTTAGTGCAAGGTATTTTTCACGTGATAAAATGATGTTGGATTTCGGCAGGTATCCATCTTCAAAAACGATAATCAATAGTGTATACTGATATTGTAACATGGTTTACAAGATAGTGTATACTGATATTGTAACATGGTTTACAAGATAGTGAATACTGATATTGTAACATGGTTTACAAGATAGTGTATACTGACACTGTAACATGGTTTACAAGATAGTGTATACTGATATTGTAACATGGTTTACAAGATAGTGTATACTGATATTGTAACATTGTTTACAAGATAGTGTATACTGATATTGTGACATGGTTTACAAGATAGTGTATACTGATATTGTAACATGGTTTACAAGATAGTGTATACTGACACTGTAACATGGTTTACAAGATAGTGTATACTGACACTGTAACATGGTTTACAAGAAGTGTATACTGACACTGTAACATGGTTTACAAGATAGTGTATACTGACACTGTAACATGATTTACAAGATAATGTATACTGATATTGTAGCATGGTTTACAAGAATCTGTTTTGCACAGGTCTGTAGAAACACGGTACACGACAGCACTATTCTATTCCACCAGATGTGGCCCAAATGGGGAAAACAAGAAGATTTAAAATCCATGGTGGCGGATCTCCCAACAGCCATGTCCAATGCATCACCATACACTCTACAACAGTTCACCACAGCTCCGGACCCTGGTTTCTCCCCCGTCGTATCGTCGGCGGCAGGCGCGGAACAGCTAAAGCACGATGCACTGGCTGTAGCCTACGATGGAACGATCAACTCCATTAACTCTCAAGTGCAGTCAACAGCAGTTTATTCTCCGCCTCTTGGTAGGTTTACTTCTTGTGTTCATTAATGACGGGGAATGGCCCATCTTTCGTTAGTTTCGATGTATAAGTAAGTAATATATAAGTTGCTGTTATACTTTAGTTACTGCAAAGCATATATGTTATTTTATTTCATTAAGTTATTCAAGACTAATACACGTAATAGTCATTAAGAGATCAAATATCCAATAGTTCAGTATTACAGATCTTATGATGTACATATATATATACATATAATGTCGTTTCTATAATAAGTAAAAAAATCAATATATTTAATGGTCACATCTAGAGAGGTTAAAAATTATGGCTAAAATTTACCTGATAAACCATAAATTCTGTAAAAGTATAATGAATAAACAAGTAATTACCTCCTAACTGCTGACTTACTTTAGAAAGGCTTATACATGAATTATTTTAACGTTTAATGTCAGACTCTATGTTCTCTTGAAACAGGATCTGGAATTATCTAAATGATAAGTTATTTAATTATTAACACACAATAAACAGAGTTAACCTATTAAACTAAAGAAACGACCTGTAAATTCAGAAAAACATCAAACTGTTAAGAAGCAGCATTAAGATCAAACTTTTTCAAGTTTCAAGAGAATGTATTTTGATTATTGGTTAATAAGATACTCGTAGCTCTATATACACGCACAACATTTACCCTCCTATCCTTAGTGTTACATACTATCGTCCTTGTAGATTGTTTTTTAATCACCCATCCCAGAGGATTTGTTATCTGTGCATGCATTCTTTGTCTGGTGGTACAACCAACAAACTGATTGTGTTGCCTTGTTCGAAAGAGGAGGTTTTCTAAGATATGCTTCTATGAAACGCAATGGTGAAGGGCTTAATTCTTTTCCTTCATCTCCTGCGTGCTTCAAATACTTCCTATCTCTGATAGTCTTAGCATTTGTTTAATATAAATTCTAAGCAGCATTTTATGAATAAATTGGGGTTCAGATGGTCCATTGTTTAATGTCATCATATAGATCTATAGCAAGAAAATATTTGCTTAGAAATTTTTGGACGTTCTTTTTATATATATATAAGATATAGTTATGCACCTACATACGACTATTATGTACTTATATGGCGTGGCGACTGAATCATGTTTAGGAGCAATATAAGTTCGTATTCTGTAATTGGTTTTTAGTACTGACTTTCTTGCGTTCAGTTTATATATATATTTGCTGTTTTAGTAAAAAAAAGGAAAAAAAAAGCAGAAAACAGTTCTTAGAAGAGTCAACAAACTCCGATTGTACGAGCCAGCCCATCCATTACCAACTGTTTAGAAGTACGCAAAAAGAAAAAAAAACAAGATCTAAAAACCGTGAATACCAGTCTCTGCTTCCAAGTTGTAGGATAAGCTTAATTATTTCGGTTGCTAACACACTGATATAGAAAGATCTGTGTCTATAAGCTACGATTGTCTCCACAATAAAATCTTATCTATATCCTCGTATCTGTACAACTACATATCTCTGCGTGTGTGTGTGTGCACATTCAAGCATGGATGAAAAACACCTGTTCAACAAAGATTCTGTGCCAAGTAAAAAAAATGTTTGGATAACTGACGCAACAAAAGTGTAATGATACTGTTCATGGAAATACATTGCGTTATACCTAGTATATTTGTCACATCTCACTGAATCTTGAACTTATGAAACTCCATGGATTTGGAGCGCAGTTTGTATGCTTTTTTATTTTCTCTAAACTAATGTATAAGCACATTTTGTGAATTGATATGTTTCTTTATGTTTATTATTTTTGGAATCTCTCATGGGGGAATAATCTTATGATATAAATTTATATATATATACACGCATACGTTTTTCAACAGCTAAGATTATTAGTCCCATTAAAAAATGAAACATTTTATCAGAGCTACTGTCAAAGCTATTGAATATAATGAGAAAACGTGTATAGGTTATAATATAAAAATAGTTAAAAACAAATGAATAGCATAAATTTCATTGGATCATTTTCAATACAGATTCGTTAACAGTTCCATTTGTGACCATTAAAATAACATCCTTTCAATTTTATGAAACTAATTGGCGGTCATACGTATTTCTTGGGCCAAATGTGGTTTAACTGTTATCTTGTCATGCTTCAGATAGGAAGATCCAATGTTCGATAAGCTATATGGCGTTAAATATGCTCTGTACTTTCAGCTGTGAAAGCGTTATAACTGTGATAGTCAGTTCCGCAATTTGGTTAAGAATAGCTGCATAGACGGAAGGTGCTGATGACAGGTCGCATACCTACTGCTCAACAGTTGTAAATTATGGATGACTATGCCTGACCTGTCCACTTAGCCCATGTGTCGCATAAGGTGCCGTTCCGGTTGAAAATACCTATGCGTTTCTTACATAAGCTGTAAAGCCTTTAATGCCTATCATTTCTTTACAGCCTTTTGGAACTAACTATATTTCTTTCCCCTATTCTCATTGTGATTTTTTGGCTGTTGCGCTCTCTTCCATTCTATTGATATTATTGTCTTCCATCCTGTTGAGTATTGTTGTCTTCCATTTTATTGAGTATTGTTGTAAGCTTTACTTGCTCTTATTTTCCCTAGCAACATTCTTGTAGTGTATATTACCCTTCGCTTATCTTCTCAGACTTTTGGTGAATTAATATCCATCTCTCCCTCTTACAGTATTGGTTTGGTTTGTACTTCTCGTTTTCTTTAAGTAGCGTTGTGGAATTTAATCAGCCTTGATTCTCTTTGTAGTGATATCATGATTCATAATCATTCTCGCGTTTCCTTGTAGCAACAATATGGACCTTAATTCATCTCCTTATGGCGTCGTTGTAGCCTTCACGACCCCTTTTTTAACTAGCCTTTTTTTATCTGTACACTCTTTTTGATATTACACTCCTTTTATTACGTTTATGTTAATAAAAATATTATAAAAATAATATCTTTTTCCGTCTATGGCATTTAATGTATATCACAACACTGTAATAAGAGGATTAGTATGGCAGTAAAAGTCACAAACCTGTAATAAGGAGAATCACTTAATTCAAATTTCTAAATACTTAGGATAGAAGTGATGGGCAGTAAAGATATAAAGGGATTAGAGAATTAGTAAAGATGAGAATGCTGTAATAAGGAGATAAGAAGGAAAGTAAAGACTACAGCACTGTAATAGGGAAAGGAGAATTAATATAAGCGTTAAAAAACTTTACAGATTGGTGATAGAAAGTATTGGCGACATCACAGATAGAAAGACAAAGTAGGGAGAGTAAAGGCTCCAACATTGTAGTAAAGAGAAGAAAATGTAAATATATATCAGAAGATAAGTTACAGATCGGTGATGGGCAGTAAAGGTCATGGCACTGTAATAAGAGGATTAGTGTGGCAGTGAAGGTCACAACACTGTAATAAGAGGATTGAAGTGGTAGTTAAGAACACAACACTGCAATCAGGAGCAGAAGATTAATCCAAATGTGAAGAGACTTTACAGATAAGTGATGGGCATTAAAGGGGATTAGAGTGGCAGTTAAGACCACAATACTGTAATAGAGAGAGAGAAAGTAATTTAAATTTGAAAAGACTTTCCAGATAAGTGATGGGCAGTGAAGGTGATAACAATGTAATAAGAGGATTAGTTTGGCAGCAAAGATCACAATACTTGAAAAAGTAGAAGAAAATGAATATAAATGTGAAAAGACTTTACAGATCGGTGATGGGCAGTAAAGGTCATGGCACTGTAATAAGAGGATTAGTGTGGCAGTGAAGGTCACAACACTGTAATAAGAGGATTGAAGTGGTAGTTAAGAACACAACACTGCAATCAGGAGCAGAAGATTAATCCAAATGTGAAGAGACTTTATCTTATCAGAGTGCTGTGACCTTTACTGTCACTCTGATCGTCTTATAACAGTGTTGTGACCTTTAGTTCCCATCATCGATCTGTAAAGTATTTTCATATTTAGATTAATTTTCTTCTTCCCATTACAGTTATTTGGTCTTATCTCTTTATTATGATATAATGGCTTTACTCTTCCTTCAATATCCATATTGCAGTTTTGTGGTCTTTACTTCCAGGCCCAGCTTTAGTGGACCCGCAACTACTGGTGGCCCCCCATATTACAGGGTTTCCAAATGTATATAACGAATACATTGGAATTTAACGCAGAAATTAAAGTATGTGGTGAAGGCCAAAGTTAGTTCTTTAGCTTTGGTTACAAAACACATATAGCTATTAGTTTCCGTAACATGTCTTACTTAACATAATTTTTTTGGTTCGTTTGTTTGTTCTTAAGCGCAAAGCTACACAATGAGATATCTGTGCTGTGCCCACCACAAGTATCGAAGCCTCAGTTTTTAGCGTTATAAACCTTCAAACTTACCGCTGAGCCACTGGGGGGAGGGGGCTACGTATATAAGATAATTGGAAACGAAATCCTTAGCTATTCTTGTTCACTATACAAAATAAAATTCGATTAAACTTGAAACAGGGGGTATTCAAAGAAAGAAATTTGCGGGGGAAGGGTAGTGCAGAATGTTAAGGCTGGCCCCGTTCATTTCCCCTCTGTTCTCATTATTACAGTGTTGTGTCCTTAACTGTTTTCCTTTACTTTGTTGCATTGCTGTCACCTATGTTATACTGCTCATCATTTATTTGTATAGCCGTTTCGCACTCACACACTTACCTTTGCATAGTTTTATAATACAGTTACCGCCCTCACTCTATTTCTTTCTTTTTTTTTAATTAAGTAGTTTTGTGGCTTTACTCCTTCCTTTTCCTCCTCATTGCGACCTTTAATCCAACTCTCTTTTCCTTAAAGCATCATTGCGATGTCTAATTCCCATCGCTGATCTGTACAGCTCCTCCTTATATTAGTTTTGTGGCTTTACTCCTTCCTTTTCCTCCTTATTGCGACCTTTAATCCAACTCTCTTTTCCTTAAAGCATCATTGCGATGTCTAATTCCCATCGCTGATCTGTACAGCTCCTCCTTATATTAGTTTTGTGGCTTTACTCCTTC